AACAGATTTTGCAATGACCCCTAACCCTGAGAAATAAATAGCCTTATATTTTCGTTCTTTCATTTTCCTATATATGTGTCAGTTTTTGATATTACAAAAATTCCATATCTTGCTCTCCGTCATAGCGTGACAACTATGAAGCTGTGAATTTTTTTTCATAAGTAGTATGCAAATACGCATTATTTGATCCCCAAGCACACACTTTTCTCAATTTCTAGAAACCTAAAAAAACGTACAGAAGCGGAAGTGCTTCCAAGAAAAAATTACCTGTAAAAATTACAGTTAACTTGTCCCTATATAAAAGAAATGCTCTTTTAAGTTCAAAACAATGTCTCACACTAAAAATTCATCCTAAAGTTCGGTAGTAATCAAAGCAAATTTAGGGATGAATGATTAGTACCTGTATGACAGTTAGCTAACGCTCGTAATTATTATAAGAACAAGTGATGATTTCTGATTACGCGGTATGTCAGCACTCGCACTAATTTCCTCTTAAAGGTGTTAATTTTTTATCGCACACCTTTTAATCCTATAGGTTACGAGCTCTAAGTAAATAAATCGGTTAGCAGTTTTTTATATTACATAACAATTTCTCCTAATTTCTGTCGATATAGTGAAAATTACCCTTCTCCTAATTTCTGTCGATATAGTGAAAATTACCCAATCTCATTTAATATAAACACTTATGAGAAATGAAAAAGATATTTGAAAAAATGAGGATTGCATTTCTCAAAACTTCAACTCCTCTGCCATGTCAAAGATCTGGATAAAAACAAGCTGGAACAAGCATTTTTAATCGATCAGCCACTCTCACAGGATAATGTTGACGTCTACAAGGTGATTTGTCCGACCATGTGATGTATAGTACTGATATTGAACTAAATCATGGATTTATATTTGATATAAAAAGGTGTTTACGTCATGACGAAAAAGCAATCACTATTAATTATTTAATTATTTATTTTCAATTTATATTGCTTACCTGAGAGATGTTCATTGGGGAAGATACATGCAATGTCAAATTCGGCAGTTAGCAGTTAAAATTCTTTATTTTCTCCATAAGAAGCTCCTAAGGGGATAGTTTGCAATATCGCTTTTTTAATGAACTCATGTTTGAATTTAGAAAAATTGTTTTGTACTCTATATTAAACTTTCTTCTTAGAATTTAAACCCAACGGGGAGTTCTCAAGCATTGTAAATCTCGCCCATGTTATTTGAAAGTATTACCATCAGATATTTCTTGGATAGTAGTCGGAGTTACTCGTACCTATTTATCAGTTTAACAGCTGCTGCAATCACTTGCAAACATATATATTTATTATTTACCAATCCTATCACGAAAAAAAAAAGGCTC